AAACCACCCATGTTTTCACACAAATGGCACAACTTTCAAATTGTTTCAAAACAAGTTTTATTCATACATTTAGGGACAAAAAAATATGGTTTATATTATGCAATGTATCTCTACAAACAATAATAATTATTAAATAATACATTTGTTAAAATAACTACACTGGTTTCCGTAGACAATAAACCCTACAGTATTTATGTTGACATCAAACCCTGCAGTCACGAGGAATTCTCGGAGGCGGACATCAAGGCAACCATCACGGTGAAAACAAAGGCCAAAAACTCGCAGAAAACGGTACTTTGGGATAGTTGTTGAGACTCCCCTGAACAGTGTAACAAAATTACCCTTGTGTGTATAACGTATATGAATTTGGTTGTTCAGGATTACTTCAAAGTTGAGTTTGTGTTATTTTTTCGAATTTAGCTATTTTAACTGGTTTCTCTACCGGCGTTCCACAGCATCACGCACAGAGTCCATAGAAATGCATGGTACAGTGGTGTGTGTCTTAGCAACGTGGAACGTCTTGTGACGTAGCTCCGCCCCCGAGGATACACCCAATAATAGATCTATTGCTAAATCCAAGATGTCACATTCTATGTAAATAAATAAATATCTCCATATTAAAAACTCTAGTTGCTATAGAAACGTATCATGCAAACTATTAACCTTTTCACTGCCAGACTTTCATGCTCAGTTTTTTTGCATATAGTTGTATCTCTATACAGACCTTATATTATTCAATATTTCTAAAAATGGATCTTAATTTTGGAAGCAACAGACAAAATCTGAGTCAATTTTTAGTTTTTACTTAAAAAAATTTGGCTATTTTTGATCAAATCTTCTGAAGAAATGTGCAGACTATAAACAGGACTATTTTATGAAAAGAGGGAACTGGTGGTGAAAAGGTTAACAGGTTCTCAAAGCTGACCACAAGTGCGTGGGCGTTACACTAAAATACTAGTAATGTGGCAATCCAATGAAAATGTTGCTGCCAGTAGTATCATTTGCATAAAACCTAAAATGTTCCATTTAATGCATTATTGTTAGTTAAAGTAAAAAAATCAAAACAAATTCTTCTGACATTTTCATTTGCTGTGATCTTCCAGATTCCACCATAGAGTAGGGGTTATAGGAAGCAGCTCTCACCATCAAATGAAAAGGAAGAACTCTAGCCTTAAAGGGAGGTGGTTGTCGCGCCATGCATGCGTGAGATATGGGTCTCATAATATGAACAAAGATGGCAACTTTGACTGTTGTGCAGACCAATGAGTTCAAACTGAGACGTTACCAAACTTTAACTGGGTAATTTCTTTGGTGATTGGAAGGTATCGAAGGAGTCATCGTCGACAATTAGTGTACGTCGCTCCAAGATCAAAACTCGTACTCGTGATTTCAATAGAAGAGCGCGTTGGATTTTGGGAAAAGCAATGTTTATCAACACAAATGTCGCACATATAGAGGGCGACGATCACCACCCTTTAATTCAAGCTGTTTAAGTTCTCAAAATGAATTTTCACATATGTATCTGCATATGAATAATTAGTATTGAAGCTACAACTGTGGGGGTTTACTGATCTGTTCATACAAGATCAAGTGTAAAACATGACAAAAAGAATGGCTCTCATGATCCCATAATCCACCCCTACCTCTAGATTTACAAATCAACCAAAACAACTTCTGGCAGATATGCACCTCAATTGGAGGATAAATTATAACAAAGCAAATACGTCTTGTTATGTATCGGTTGTACTTTAGACCCTGGAAAATTAATTATGTGGTAAATGATATACATTTTATCTATTTGAATAGGATTTTATTCATTTGTTTATTTGCACCAAATATAGTTTGATCAGCCTTATCAGCCTTGGTGGTAAGTCTATCAATTTGGTCATTCTGTGTCTCAATCTCTTGACCCAGACCAAGAGCTAAGCCTTTAAGACGAGACATTCCAGAGGACATTTCATCTGAAACCAAGAAAAATACATTAATTATTCACTGGGTTTTAATTTCACTATTTTCGCTGATAAGTAAAATATGCTAAATGAAATCTATGTGAACATGTAAAATAACAAGCAGCCTATCGGCTGAGATAGCTCCGCTGTTAGCAATGCACATTTCAATTAAAGAACTGAAGACATCATTAGAAAATGAACAATATGTATAGTATCAAAGCAATCGGACTTGCAGTTTTTAACAAGAAGTCGAAAATATCACTTTCTACCAAAAATGACAAAAATATTCACCAAAATTAGAGAATTGAAGATATCATCACGAAATGAACAAATCTGAGAAAGGTCTACATGTAGTATCTATATATGTAATATCAAAGCAAATGAACTTTTGGTTTTTAACAAGAAGTCGAAAATATCACTTTTTACCAAAAATGACAAAAATATTCACCAAAATGAGAGAATTAAAGATATCATTACAAAATGAACAAATCTGAGAGAGGTCCACATGTAGTACCTATATATGTAATATCAAAGCAATTGCACTTGCGGTTTTTAACAAGAAGTCGAAAATATGACTTTCTACCAAAAATTACAAAAATATTCACCAAAATTAGAGAATTGAAGATATCCACATGAAATGAACAAATCTAAGAGAGGTCTACCCAAGGTACATATACACCAAGTATCAAAGCATTCAGGCTTGTAGTTTTCAAGAAGAAGTCGAAAAAGTAAAACATTGACACGGACGACGGCGAAGGACAATCACTCATATGATAAGCTCCGCTCGACAAACTCGACAGCAGAGCTAACAATAAAACTCATTGTTTCCTTATCGGTGGCTGCAGCATAGTAGTCATAGCATCATAATTAAACAATGGGAGCCTTGCTTACATGTGCCGAAAAACACAGGGCTAGGTCATTTAGTACCAGTAAATAAGTTTATCAGTGGCATACATTCTGTTCATATGGAGAAGTAATTTACATTTAACTCGATATTCACACCTTTTCACCTGCTATTAGGATTGCAACTAAAAGACAATGTTTTACTCCAAAGACCTTGTTCACATGCATCTCATTCTCAGAGTTAAACACCAAAATTGAGGTCAAGACCATCCCTCGAACACCGAGCTATCAACTAATTCGAGCCCAATCTGGGTTAATTCATGCTCCAAAACCCTGAAAATCCTTGTTATTTCGTATAGTGCAGGCTGATTGGCACGAAACAAGTACATGTATTAATGATTTTCGAGGTTCGGAGAATGATAATTGAATTTAATTAAACATATGCTTGCTTTACATTACCAAACTGGCTTAATTCTATAATTTCCATTATTCTGAACAAAGGTTTTAAGGTCCTGTACCAGTACATAGTCGTTCCGCCCCATAGACGTCCATGTATTGACACAAGTAGATTGTCAGGCTCTTGCGATTGTTTTTGTCATAATTTTCTGAAGGAAAGTGCAGACAGGACTATTTTTTGAATATGTGATGAAAAGAGGAAACTGGTGGTGGTTGAAAGATTGAGAATCAAAGCGTCCAGCAATGTGAAACTCACTGCAAAATAAATGCATTTTTTAAAATGGATAGTGTGCAGGCAGTTAATAATGGAATAATTATTCTAGGATTTTCAAATTACAATGTGCATTATAGGCCATCACAGCAGACCATGCATGAGCTAGTGCTGATTAGTGAGCGACATTTTTTATCAGACATTCACATGCTGGTTAGCAAAAATGACGTTACAAGGCAACGGTTTATTGAGCAGTAAAACAAGTTATTACCTATATTTTTGTTAATCTGTGTATCCATTTGTCGCATTTTAGACTGAGAACCGGAACCGCTACTACCGGCAGAACCAGCATTATACTGTTCATAGTAATTACTTGAATAAGGATCACGTAATCGCATGGCTGGATGGATGTCATCTTCCCGAGTCGGTTTTTGGTTAATCGCACTGTCTAAATAATCGTTAGTTTTCCTTTCCTTTACTTCAGCTTCTTCTTCTTTTGGTTTTGACTTAAAGAGATTCACAAATCCACCAAAGACACTTTTAAGAGAAGTAAGATGGGTCTGGGCGACTTTCATATCTTGGTTGATTTTATCTAAATTTTTTTCAGTGTTGTTCAGTTGTTCTCCTTGGTGCAACAGTTCCTAGAAATTGTTTGAAGAAAATAAAGTTCAATCCTTTCGCCATTTCTATGTTATGTTAACATACATGTATTAATTAATAATAACTGTAATGTTACTGTATAACCATTTTTTTTTATTTTCCAACAAAATACTAATGCATTTAGTCTACCCCATTAACTACCTAGATGTCAATCATATCAATTGTTAGGTTTATCTCAGTGTTTAGGTAAAACAAAATATGTTCATGAAAAAATCACAGCACTATTTAGATAACAAATTAAAATTAAGAATAATAAATGCCCATCTGCATCAAAATTGGCAAACACTGGAATTATCGCTTCATATTATTGTCAGATGACCATAATTAACATTATAAACTATAATTGTATATACAATTTTTTTTTTTACAAATAAAGTTTTTTATTACAACAGTATTCATCTGTTATTCCATATACAATGTCGTAAATACAATGGCCATCATAAGGATCATAGATCTGTTGACATTTGCCAAGAGCATGGTTCAACAGTTTGACATCAAACCACGAGATTTATAAATCATCATGCTACTCAGTAATGAACAAATAAGTACATGTAATGCTGTACATTATTAAAATCAATCTCAACATTGCATCAAATCCTGTTTTTTTTTCTAAATATTACAACCCCTCGTTGAATGTCCACGTTTTGATAAACATTATTATTAACACTGATCAGAGTTCATGAAGATTAGTCATACCACAACGTAGTACTAGTAGATTCTCTAATATCCAAAGGTTGTTATTGATATTGATGCTGATAATAAAATAACATAACATAACGTCGATGATTTATATCATATCAGGAGTACGATACTCAATACTACTCTTGGAGCTATTACTAGTAGTTAAAGGTAGTGATGACTCAGAATCATCAATTGTGTATATTATGAGATCATCTCTCACCTCAGCAGTGTCGATTCCAATCCGTTCTGTTTCGTACATAACGCCTAACGAACGCTGTGTACTTTGAAGCATATCACGGTTTCTTGTCTCGTATTGTTGTAAAAAATCGTATTGCTCATTGTTTCTATTGGCTTTGCCATATCCCGAGTCACCTTCATAACCGTCATCGTCAGGAAAAGAAATCGCAGCACGACCAGCCATTTTTCGAATACGTTTACGGTTTAACTTCCGGTATCCGCC